GTCAGGATAATCAGTTATGCAAGAACCAGGGCAACTTCTCGGAATGCTTATGTCAAGATACCACGTTCGCCCTGATCCACCTAGCAGCGATGCATCTGGTAAAAGAGAAAGAAAAGTGAACTAGCTATACAGCTTTCCAAGTTCGTTAGGAACTATTGTTTCGGGTTTTTTAATTCTTTTTTTTTTTTTAATTTTTTGCAAGTTTGTATCAGTTACAGCTTTAAACCCATCTTTTAATCTTCGGAGCATATATATATTTCTGTTAAAGAGTGGTGCATGGAGGCCTTTAGATTTGGTAATAACATCGGTGATAACTAATCCCATAAACTTATAGAAATTGCCAAACTTATAAAAGGAGCAGCACCACAATAGCCAATAACAAGCAGTCTAGTCCATGCACGCAAGATCCCAAGCATATCCAACAATGGAATAATCCACAGGAGCCTTGGGGACCATGAGCAAAAACTTTGATGTCATCAACCTTGAAAAAACAAGAGAACAACTTAATGAAAGTAAAGCATGACATGACCAAGTAGGAACAAAACTGAGCATGGAGCAATAGAGGGCTAGCAATTTAGATACCCAATAATAAAGAACATCTGATTTCTTTAATGACCATTCCAATCCTCTCTAATTTTTAAATCCATTAGGTTATTGATAACCAATTCATTATCTCCAATTCTAAAGATAAATTTAACAGTCTACTAACTTCTCAAATCTTAAGACTTAGCTTCATTTCTTTGAATCTTCTTAATTGATTTCAATATAAAAAATGGAACCACTAGCAATCTTTAAAATCACTCTTCTTTCTACTCCAATTATATTTCTTGCCTTTCTTCCTCCTAGGCTTTTTAAGTTTTTGGTTAATAGCAGACTCTAAACACTAAACACACCCATTAGTAATCATATGAATAACACTTGAATTTGATTATGGAGTAACGTCCTCTTCTTTGTCAACAACATTAGAAATATTAGTAAAATTGTCAACCAAACTTGAAACAAAAGGATCCTTAGCATCCTTCAAGCTATTAAAGGACATTCACCAGCGGCAGCTGCCACTGCATCACCGGACACCACCATTGCACCAACTGAAGGTATCAATCTCAGAATCTTCAACAGCACCTACTATCACTGCATCAACACTTAACATTCCACAATCTAGAGCAATCAAGTTTGCCATTGCACCAACTAAATCGAAGACAATCTCAGATGGAACACTTAGCATTCCAGAGTCTAAAGCAATCAAGGTAGTTTTCATTCCTTTTTCAGTTTCTTATCTTGAATTCTTTGTATGAGAGTAGCCTTCCAACAATGCCAACCAACCCTACATTCTTATTTTCAAGAAAAAAGAGTTCATTCGCCATAGCGGGTGAGATGGAAAAGTGATGTTTATTCATTTATCGAAGCAGAGTTTGGAAGGTCAGTCTCACCTCACTTCCAGGGTTGATGGCCAACATGGTTTTTTGGCATCAGAGTACGCTTCCTATGGAAAGCTTACAGAGAAAAGTGATGTTTACTGCTTTGAAATTTTGAAATTCTGAATGGGAGAAAAGTACTTGATACATCAAACTCATCCTATCCCTTGATCATAGTTTGGGCTTTGAAGCTTGCGAAATCAGGGGAATATGTGAGAAATTTCCAATGAAATAAGAAAGGAAGGACCTAGTGGGGTGGTGGAAAGGTTTGATTGTGTGGCTTATCTGATAGTGGCTTTCAGGTTGTACCTATTGAATGGCACATAATTATAGCCCCTCCACAGCTAGGTAGGGGAATAAAACCAAAAGAAAGAAATACATAAAGAAACAAAAGAAAAGAAAAAAAGAGGAAATTAATAAAAAAATTTACAACATGTAGCAAAATTTGGCCACATGGACAGTGACACGAGGCTAAGTTTTACCACGTGACGTCCATTAATAAAATGAACAACACTACATTGATTATACCAAACTAGAATTAAGGTCTTACACATGGAAGATCCTAAATTGTGTATCTAGTCTAAATGAAAGTGATACAGGGTGAACCTCTCATCTCAGAACTGGAGAAGCAGGCTGGTCATGACAGGTGTGGAACAGTTTGTTTATCCAACAAAGTATTGGAGCAGTCGTGCTGATGTCTGATGAGTGCATTCAGTTCTGGAAGAATTCTGAAGGTATTGAGGGAGGGCAGTACTTCTTTGCAACACATTTGTACTGAGGCAAAAATAAGATCTTGGTTTTAGATTGGATGCTTGCACCAATTAAAGCAATCAAATGCACATTTCAGCTATGCAAATAACATTTTAAGGAAGCTCCTTAAAGTGTTTAATATCATTACCTTATGTTGATTGTATTTCTCCCTGATTGCAGGCAAAGTAGAATTTTGATTGCTACAGCATAATCTATGAAGATCCTTAACACAGTCACACAGATCAGAGGGCTTGTAAAGTGTGTAATGCTGCAAGGTAGAATTCTGCACCATAATAAATGGATATCAGACTTATAGGGTAAATGTCAACAGCTAGAGTTCTGTTAACTAACAATTTTTTTTATTTAGATAATATATGAAAACAGCAAGAAGAAGCTGCTTGCACATACCCAAGGTCTCTTCGAAGGAAGAAGTATAAATTTGGCCAGGAAAATTGCAGAAGCGGCTATTAGTGATGGAGCATAACAAAGCATGGTGTACTCAAGGAGTGAGAGTTCAGCAATGTAGTTGGCCATGCACTCTAATTGCATTGATGGAACCTATTAGAAAGCTCACAACCACGACAGGAAATCAGGGAGTTAGGACTCCTAAAGCCAATTATTGATCAATGAAAATGACCATGATTGTTGACTTCAATGGATCGCCACTTTAAACATTGTAACAGATAGTTTTAGTATGTTTCTTTGTGCAGAGATACTAAGGTGCACATGGCAGAGGAAAAACAGAGAAGCCAGAATAAAAAGCGCAGAAAGTCAAAGAAAAATACCTCATTGACCCCTTGAGCAGCACGAACAAACCGTCTGAACGTCATACCAAGGATCACAAGTTACTACAACTATGGTAAACATGAAAAGCAGAAAGTATGTTCAATAATAATGAGCTAGCCATTACCTTAAGAAACATTTAGCTGTGGCGGCAGTCATTTCAAACTTCAAGTAATTTAAGACAGAAGATTCCATTTCCAGAACCTGTTATAAGTTAAAAGGTTAACGCCCTATTCAGATTTTAGAAACTAACATCTTTGCAAAGAAGCATATAAGAAATTTCTAGTTAAAAATAACAGAGGCCAAACCTCCTCCTTGAAGTAGGTATTATCAGTGATGTAGCAAAACTCCTCCACCTGGGGTGCACAAATCTCCTCATATTTTCTGATAAATTAAACACTCTAATGTTAACATTATATCCATGGGAAAATCTTAGACGAAAACTGAGATATAATAACGTAAAAGGAAACGAAAGAAAGTAGGAGTGTGTTATTTCTTACGCAGCAATCATCATGCAGGCAACACCAAGCAACTGTAGCCGTTGCCTATTCATCACATTCCCTGAAAGGTACCGATCTATGTAGTTCACGGTCAAATATAACGTATCTGGTACAAGCCTATACTCTTCAGCTACCTGCAGTTAAAAATTGGAAGTTTAGCCTTACCAAGAGAGAACACTATACTCTCAGAAATATTAATGAAAGAAGCTACTAGCAGCAGAGATTATGCTAGCAGCGATAGTTTTTGAATCTTATGTAGTGGAGATTCTAAATAACCATATAACTTTATAAATAGACAGAAAATTACTTCTACAAGCCAATCAATCAGTATTGCACGCATGCTGGAATTTATGTCTTTCTGAATTCGCTCCATGAAGTCTGTGGAAGGTCTTTTCTTCACCTGAAATCCAAAATAAATAAGAAAGTTAAAGGAGCAAATCAAAGCAGCCAAAAAGGACCAAATTGGATAAAAGCAAACACAGAACATATAAAAGCACACCCTAGGATCCAGAACCAGGGCTGTCCACAGTCTTCTGTTTTAAACACTTCAGTTTAAACATCCTATCTCTTATGCATTACACTTGAGATCTTCCAAGACATTATATACTGGTAATCTAAGGGTAACCATTAATGTTTCTCAGTCAAAACAGTGTTTAACATGATGTATATTATCTTCCAGTCTACAAATTTTCGTATACAATTTCTGATTGTGCCTCCTAGAGCTCTGCCCATTTGTAAACAAATCTTCAAAAGCATAACTTCGAGGTAGAAAAAGATGGAAAACCTCAGATGCACGGAGGTGCTTGTAAATATCACAGGCAAATGTTGCACAAAGCTGTGGATCCACGTAATTATCATCAACATTAATTATCTTATCATCTGTTTCCATCTCCGCGATTGCATCTCTATTGCAGATATTCCCTGCAACCAAATCAGTTAGAAACTAAATGAGCAGATCAAAAGGAAAAACGTTTAAGCAGAAGTTTACTATCTGATGATGGAACCAATCAAATTGTTTACTAATAAGCTTTTTCTTTTTGCACTTGATACTGAACCTGTTGCTTCTACATGGTCCGAAATGTAGAGATTGTTGAACGTCTTTCGTTCAATGGAATCAATCGCTGTAACATCACGGTTGTCCATGTATTCAACTTCAGGACTTTTGAAAGAGTCACAGGTGGACATTGTCTCGTCCATAGAGACCGAGACACCATCTGATTTACTAGGAGAAAACTCCATGCTACATAGTGGAGGAGGGATAGTAGAAATACTAGGAGGAGGCACCACCACTTCATTTCCTCTTGCAAAAGATGTAACAACCTTGGGAGGCAAAACTGAACTGGGTCTTACATTTGTAGAAGGTAAAACATGTCCTGAGAAACCTACATTACTAACCGGCTGTGTCTTCCTTGCCTTTAAGATTTTGTTTGAACATGGTACCTAAAATTAAAGATTAAAAATAAAAAATTAAAAACTAGAGCACCCAAGAATAAAAAAAAAATGAAAATTATACATAATATACATTAGTTCCATAATCAATCAAAACCATAGCTTTCTACCTCAATGTAAACAGAGCCAGCTGCTAGGCATGGTTTCTAATTGGATTACAATGTACCTAAAATGCCAAATAAGAAATAAAAAGTTCCAAAATTTGAAATTAAACCTATAACAACTCTAGCTCAAACTCCAAATTTTTAAATGGGGTGGCTTTTTCTTCCATGTTACAACTTTGGGGAGAAAGTAGTACAAAATTTCAAATTTGCTCTAAGTCTCTACTTGGCTAAAACTTTGTCAATAACAAATAATAGAACATAATGAAAACCCAAATTTTGCTGCTCATAATCTTCCTATTTAAAAAGAAGTTCTTAGAAAATCTTGGAAGTCCCCATCAATTCAAAGAACAATGTAAAAACTAAACCTTCTAAAATTTGACTATTTTCTATCTTCTCTTTCCTTACATTATCTCAGAAAACAAGAAACCAAATAAGATGATCAAGAAAACAAAAAAAGAAAAAAAGAAACATAACAAATTAACTATGTTACAAAAACAAACTTAAGACCCACCAAAGAAGAGGCCGAAACCGAGTTTCTTGAGCTATCCTTTTGGTTAGTAATGTTACTGAGAGGGACTCTCCTTTTAGACAAAGAAGCCGTGACTTTTCCCACATTCTCCGACGACGACGATGATGCGTGTCGTTTCGCCAACGACGACGTCGTCGACGACGAAAACGACGACCGCCGATTACTACTTTGTGTCGACATTCTTTAGCTTTCGTTTTCTAGAAAGAGAGTCTCTTTGCGAGAAGAAGTTTTGGTTGGGGCTTTTATTTCTGAGGTTCTTCTTGCGTATAATTATTTTATAATTTTTTAACCACCCTTTTGAGGCGGGGAAATTGGGTGATTTGAATTGTCGAAAGATCCTGGCCGTCGATCCCACTCGGTAATCGTTAGGAGCGTGATGTGGGGACCACTGTTCCTGTTTTGGGGTTTCTTGAGTCAGGCTTTGCCATTTCCACAGCAACCAACGAGGGAACGACACGTCGGAATACAAGGTTGGGTCTTTGGTCTTTTCAGCGGTTTGGGTGGATTCCATTGGCTGGTCATGGAGTACAACAGTCACGGCTGGGTACGTTTAGGTTTCAGGTATATTTGAATTCGAATTTCAAACGGTCACAAGATCTGTCTTCACCTTCACTCTATAGTAACCTAGTAAACAGAACAAAATAAAAACAAAAAGGTTTTTGAATAATTGAACT